GCTGAAATTCTGAAGTAGTACTCTAATGACATAAAAACAAGGAAAATCAGGAGAGGCATTGCTGTAAAGGCAGTGTAGGGTGAAATGTAGAGGAGAATTTGTATTATCAATTGGAAGGGTGCATCCCAGAAGAGTGGGAAAGTAAGATTTATTATCAGAGAAGCCTCTTGCTTCCACTATTGCCCACTATACAAAACCCTGTGTCATTTTCTTTTTAATATAGGAATTTCAGAAACAGCTTACGAATGCTAAAAGAATAATGATCATAGGGAATGGTGGTATCGCACTTGAATTAGCGTAAGTATATATTTTTAAAAATTGCTCTGTGATTCATGTAATTGTTGGCATACCAGAAAAGATCTTGTTATCCTAAAAATCAAAGATAATATTGTTTTTCATGTATTTTCAAGAACAGAAATCCACTTAATTTTTTTTAGCTTTCATGGGATTCATAATTGCAAAAATGTTGTCAGAAAATATGAGTTTAGGCAGTGCTTTAGGTCTCAAAGGGTCATTAACTGGTAACTGGCTAGATTTGAACCATCCTATATAATCCTATATAATATATATAAAAGTCTAATATGCTAAGTGCCCGAGCCTTCGTTCCACCAGTAGCTATGATGCTCACTGACCACCAGGAGGCAGACGCTCCAACTGGTAGGTTAGCTTGCTGCTGGGGTCTGATCGGGACTGGGCAACATGGGCCGGACACATCCTGGAGCCCTCCCACAATCCTTCCCTGGCCCCGATCATGCACCGGTGGGGTCTCTCCGCCTGGCCTGTGCCCTCTTGCAATCCAGAACCCCTCGGGGTATGTCGGAGAGCTGGTTTCAGCCCGATCCCTTGCAGGGCAGGCCGAGGGACCCCATCAGTGCACAATCCATGCACCGAGACTCTAATGTTTTATAAGCATGTACTATATTAAAAAAGAATCTGAATGTGTACACCTTTAGAAATTTCTAGTCATAATCCCCACCACTTTTTATTGCTTATACCCATCCTGTTATGTGAACACATTAGTAAATATGAAATATTATTTTAAAGTGTTTCAAGTTCAGAAATCATCGAAGACTCCTCTTGTTGTCTACAGAGCATTAATTCACTTTCTTTGTGATTTTATCTTCCCGCAGATAGCTGACATGAAATAGTATGAGTATTTTTCAGACTAGAAAATTGGGTCCAATTACAGATAGGACAAGTTTATATTAAAATAAGGAATCTGCTCAAGCCCTGCCTTTGCTCAGTTTCATCCATTCCAACTCTCAGACTAGGTTTTTGCCCCTCTTTTTTAGAGGATGATGAATCCCATTGAAAGCCTATAAGAATTCTTCAATTGCCTGAATACCAGGAATAGCAGTTATTATTATAATTATGAATTTTGTGGCACTGTGCAGAGAAATGCAGAGGAAAAACTAGAGCATTAAAACTAGACTGGGCCTTAAGGGAGGAGGCACAGATGTAAGGGGGGCTTCAAATTTTTAGTACACGTGACAAATTTTCTCCACGTATCACCAAAACTATAACTTAATACTATTACTATTTACAATGAAATGCTTTCTTACTGTAAAGATGTTCAAATTCTCACAACATTTGATCTTATTCCTTCTGTAATATTTGAATACATAAAATGTCTGTTACCAAAGAAGTCAACTATTCTCAGTATGGTAGCTGTGTACCATCCATCCATCATCAATTACACTATTACCAGATAAAGCATTTCTCACTCCTGGGACCCTGCAGACATTAAATAATAACTATGTTGTAGAAACTGAACACTTTGAAATGATATTTATTGTAATGAAACTTTACCTGATGTCCAGTATATATATTTGTCCCTTACATGTTCTTGGTAAACTGATTACA